TAAACCATTACTGTGAAGCACAAGATCAGTTATGATGAAGACAAAACCCATTTATGGTCCGGAAAGCTAGAAAATAGCCAACCAATAGCAGCCCAGCAGAGTCTGTGGAGGCCAGTGGCCTGGACTGGTGTCACTGGGAAGCCACGGCCAACCAGTACGTCTGGCTGTAGACTGCAGGAAATAAAAGGATGGATATCCGACTCCCACACATTCAAGTCGGCCATTTTGATTAGGTCACCAATAGGAAGATCCCAGGCAAGAAAATCCTAATTGCTTCATGGCAGTATAGACATTAATTTAAAAATAGTGAAATGAATCTTGCAAACACAGAATTAAACTCTATACATAATATGATGTTAAATTAGTGGATGTTAGGTTTAGGTTTGTAGAATAAGTCCAAACAAGTTTAACCAAAAAATATTTATTTCTCACAATTATGAAGGGTTAGGGTTAGGGTTAGGGTTAGGGTTAGGGTCAGAGTAAGGGTTAGGATTAGGTTTAGGGATAAGGTCAGGGTTAGGATCAGTGTTGGGGTTAGGGTTAGGGTTAGGGTTAGGGTCAGGGTTAGGGGTTAAGGTCAGGGTCAGGTTTAGGGTTAGCGTTAGGGTTAGGTTTAGGTCTAAGGTTAGGGTCAGGGTTAGGGTTAGGATCAGGGTTAGGATTAGGTTTAGGTTTAGGGTCAGGGTTAGGTTTAGGGTTAGGACATCGTTTTTCCTCCGATTTTATATAGACAGTAAAGTTTTGTTTCATCCCTTATAAAGCTGCTAGTCACATGACCTAATCAAAATGGCCGACTTGGATGTGGGAGGAGTTGGATATCCAACTGAGGCTCCTGCAGCCAGAGGGGCGTCTCTCCACACAGAAAGTGGATAAGAAAAACCCGTCTTTAGCCCAAAGAACGACCCACAGAGGGAGATATGACGACCGTCCAGAACCCGGAGTGAGAGCGGTCAGAAACGGCTGTTTCCAGTTTCACACAAACAAAACCGTGAACTTTAGCTGGACTCTGCACAACGGTGACAACAAAGGCTCCGGGGAGAAAAGCTGACTGACCGGCAGCCATTCAGATGAACCAATGAGGAAGCCTCCAGAGTTTTCCCCGGACAAAAACATCCACGGGTGCACATTTTGGGTCGTACGGAGTCCTGATTACAGGAAAACAGTCGTGTGGAGGCTGTGAAACGGCTGAGCAGGAGGTATCAGGAAGGAGGCAAAGGAGTCTGAGTATAGAAGACAATCTGGACGTGTACTATAACACTAATATTCACCAATAAAAAGTATATATATATATGTGTGTATATATATATATAGATACAGTGGGGGAAATAAGTATTTGACCCCCTTGTTGATTTTGCAGTTTTGCCCACTTACAAAGAATGCTTATTTTTCCTCATCAGACGGTTATACATTTTTATAAATTCATATGATGTGATTTTCTGGAATTTTCTTTGGGATTCTGTCTTTCACTGTTTGAATGTACATATGATTAAAGTTATAGATCGTTGCATTCTTTGTAAGTGGGCAAACCTGCAAAATCAGCAAGGGGTCAAATACTTATTTCCGCCACTGTATATAGATAGATATCTATAGATATAGATATATAAATGCAGGATAG